TTCCCCTCGCTAGCTGCATGTGCTCGAACCCGAAGCCGAAGCGCATGACGGGTCTGTGGCCATTCAACGCCCTTCCTTGGCATGTGGCATCTTGAACCCCACGACCAGCCGCTGGATCATCCCGCGTGGCTTGTTCCTTCGGCTGTTGTCAACATCCAACTTGGTTGCCGTTGAAGAAACACGGGGGTGTGTGGTATAGTCGTCAATTCTGTGGAGGTTATTGGGTGAACTCCGGGGTTGCCAAATAACTACCAGCAACTGGAACTGCTGAAATGCCGGGGTTACAATCCAGGTCCCTTTAGAGCAAAACGTTGCCCTGCGGATCCATATACTTTTCGAAGTATGTATGGATACAATCCATGCGGGTGTAACTATGTTTATTTCATTCTTTGGATGTTGGGCATGTGGGCATCTCGTGGGCTGCAGAACCCTGGGTTTGAACTTGAATATTGATGGCCACGTTCAGTTTTGCGCTCTTAGTTTTGATCTGACGTCATAAAGTTATCCGCTTGGTGGTTTCGAAACTGTAAAAACCCAATTGTAGTCAGTTCACTTCAAGACATCAATCATCTGATTAAGCGAACATGAGCCTTTTGATCAACCAAAGGGACTCGTTCGAGACAAACCCCTACCCTAGATTTCCATGCATGTGCCAGTCAGTCGTGCCACGGTGCGGAGGATGGGGACGGCTCCATTTCTCCATTTCTGTCCCCGAGCCGCTCGGTCTAGTCCCGTTGTGCCGTCGGGTGGGCGGAAAAGCTCGGCCGCAAAGGGTCTCTCTCCCCATTTTGCTGCCATGTCGATCAGTGCGCGGCGTAGAGGTGCATTGGCACATCACATTACATACCTTCCAGGTTAGGAGATAACGTAAGTGGGGCTGTCAACTATTTTAGCTTCTTATAACTATTCCATATCGGACTCGAGCAACATTCAATCAACAAGCCTGAGACAGCCTATCGAGAAACGGCGATGCGAGCCGCCGAGAAAGCGAAAAACGACAGGGAAAAGGGGAAAATGACAAGGCTGGAAAGCCCCTTGCCAGGACTGTGGGGACTTCTGCAAGAATGATTGGCTCCGAACCCCCTGGAGCAGGCGCATTGCTCAACAGTCGCGGTGATTTCACCTGGACAACACACCAAGTGGGGCTCAGGTTTGACGAAGTGGATGAGGTGGAAGAAGAATCATCAATTCGAACCTTCGATCTCGATGCATGTACACAGTATTACAATACGATTTGACAATACCGTTCCTTGGACCTCGAAGTGCATCTACATCATCATCATCATCCACAATTGGGCATATTCAACGGCACATCAACAAGACTATTTGACATGAATCGGCTAGTCTGACCGGGTTACCTCATCTCACCGCAATTCGCACTCACCTCACCTCGACTCACCTGAGCAAACGGACACATCAGCCCAAATCAAATGAACGACCCAGACGGGGAAGGGGGCTCAGGAGGCTCAGGCGACGACTGGGAAATCACACTCTCGCCCTCTATCTCGTCGCTTTCTTCATTTGCTCCTGAGGACTACTCTTTCCCACTCCAGCAGCATTTCACAGGGCGACCCGACCCCATACGAAATCCATCTCCACAATCATCACCACCACGACCATCGCCACAGCCATCACAGCGACCTCAGCAACAACCACAATATCAACACCAAAACCATGAATTCCAACCCCGAAACCAAACCAACTCACAAGGCCACGACATGTCCCGCCAAAAACAGCGCACGCCACCCCTCGTAAACCCCCGCCTCGCCCACTCCCAAATCTCCATCCCCGTCCCCAACCTTCAAACCCCCCCACCCACCTCCCCACGCCGCAAGCTGGGCCTACTACACCAGCACCACCATTCCTCCTCATCAACATCCTCCATTCCCCGCGCCATCACCACCACCAGCGCCGCTACCACCACCCCCCGCCCCACCGCCACAACAACAACCACCACCAACCCCACCATCTCCGCCACCCCCGCCAGCCGCAGCAGCAGCCGCGCCAGCACCACCAACAGCAACCCCTGCAACCCCAGCCACAGCCGAGCCGGCAGCCGAGCCGACAGCAGAGCTGACAGCCGCGCCGGCAGCGCCCTCAGCCTGCGCCTGCACACGGGCACAGGCACGGGTGTCGGCATCGGCCTGGGCGCTGGCCTACCCGTCTCGCCGCTGCCGGCGGCGGCGGCGGCCACGTCGTCGTTTTGGCGGGGTAGGGCGCGCGGGGCGAGCCGGGCGGGCGGTGCGGGCGGGGCGGGCGGGCAGCGGTTTGTTTCGGGGGTGGGGACGGGGTCGGAGGGGTCGGGGTTCTCGCCTTTGAGGCCAGGGGTTGGTGTTGGGGTGAGGACGGGTCAGAGTCAGGGTCAGAGTCAAGGCCAGGGTCAGGGTCAAGATGAAGATCAAGGTCAGGGCGATGAGGGGGGGCAGGAAGGGGATGGTGATTCGAGCAGTCCGAGCCGCAGTTTGAGTCAGAGCTGGAGTGACCTTGCGGGGGAAGTGGAAGGGGCCGAGAGGGGGGGAGAAGAAAGGGAAGGGGAAGGGGATGGAGACGGGGATGGAGAGGCAGAGGGAGAAGGGGAGGGGGAAGGCGGTTTCTTCGAAGAGAACGGGTCTGGCACTGCCAGCCAGCGGCATAGCTGGGACAGTGTTGCGACTGTGAAGGAGGAAACTGGCCGGGTTCGATTTCTTGATTATGACTATGCGGATGATGGAGGGGATACGCACGTCGGAGAGGGCTCCGACGGGTACAAGGACGCCCAGGAATACGGCAGCTTCCAAGGACGCGACGACCCGCGCAGCAACGAGGGCTCTTGCGGATATGCTGCATCACCTGAACGTGTGAGTTCACAGAAGTACGTGGAACCACAGGCATATGAGATCAGGACCGAGGGCAAGCATGACCTTGGACAGCAATATCGCGAGTATGACACCGGCCGGTATGGGGATGAGAAGCTCGGTGGGGCTGGGATGGGGGTGTTGGGAAAGGGCGAGGATCAGAGGGATGGTGGAGATTACGACAGGGAGATACAACTACCATCGAAATGGGACAGGAGTCAGGGTCTGGAACGGATCATAGAGGAAACTCAAGAGACCGAAACCGACACCCTCCCACCGGGCAGGATCATGCTTATGGAGCGGCTGTGCGATCTGGTGCAGAGGCTGTCCTCGGTGAGGGTCGGCGGCGGCTTGGAAGCCGATGTTCTTGACGTCTTGAACGTGAAAGTCGACGAGATGGATGACCTCTTGGTGCTTGCGGAGGAGACGGCCGAGGCAGAAGCCACGGCGGACATGGAAATGCAAGCCATACCTGAAGACGAAGAGGAACAACTTGGCAACGAGGACGCACCAGCGCAGGCTACGACTGAGGACGGAGAGGAAGCAGCCACAGAAGTCCAACCAACAAAGCAAGAGGGAGGATTGGAAACGGAGAGCGGAGGTGAAACAAGGGAGGAACCGTCCAAGTCCGGATCCGGAGAAAACGACGAGTGGGGCAGCGGAATGTCGCCGGCCATGTTCCCCGTGCCAATGCTCCGGGTTGGGAACCAAGACATCCGCGACCTCGCCAGTCCCCTTCCATGGCTCACCTCCAGCTTCAAATACTCTGAACTCTCGATATCCCCGACCCGGTCGAGCCCCGAGCTCGCTGCGGCCACCAACGAGGCCCTTGAGGCAGCCAAGCAGGCCGCCCAAGCCCAAGCTGACATGGCCGAGCGAGTGGCATCCGAAGCAAACAGGTTGAACTGCGAGCTAGCCGAAATCGTCAAAAATCTGCAGGCCCGAAAGGAAGAGTCCGACGTGAGAAACCCCCCTCCCTCCCCTTCACACCCCTTCCATCCCCAACTAAAAAAAAAACCACCAGCACCTCCACGCCCTCCTGATCGACCGCACCGAGGCCGCCGCCACGCGCGTGCTCGACCTCGAGCAAGAAATCTGCGACCTCGAAGACGACATCCTGTCCGGCGAATCCGAGCTGCGGCACCTGCGCCTCAAGCTCCGGGCCGTGGAAACGCTCTGGCAGGAGACGGCACGCCCGGACACGGCGGGCGGTGGCGGCGACCCGGACCTGGTGCGCAGCATCGAGAACTGGAAGGCCGACTGGGTGCTCGTGCGCGACCGCATGCTCGACCGCAAGAAGGACCGCCGCGCCCGCCGCCTGCGCCTGCACCGCGCGGGGTGCGTCATCAACTCGTTGGAGGAGCGCGAGCAGGAGACCACGACGAGTAGTCTGGGGGGGTTGTCCATGTCGGTGTCGTTGCTGGGGTTGGGGGGTGGAGGTGCTAAGGGTGGGAGCGGGGGCGGGGGTGGTATTGCTGTTGCTGGTCCGAGGAGTCCGAGGAAGAGGGCATGATCGATTCACCGGGTCTGGCCCGACATAGGTGCCGATGGGGATGGCATGTGGAAGGAGTTTTCGTGGGCTGGTGTTTGCATTTTGGTGGCGACGGTTGCATGACGTCTCTCGCTTTGGGAATACCCAGTAACAACTGGCATGGTTGCATGGCTGCATGGCTGCATGGTCACTTAACTGGATGGCAAAACAAGGAGTTGCTTGCGGGATGCTAAGAGCACATGGGGTTGCCAACGATGATGAGGATGACACGAATACTGGGGAGGCAGTTTGCGTTGCAGATGTATCAAAGAATGTTGGTGGGTATTGCAATAAGGTAACTCGATAACGCCAGCTCAAGGGCTTCGCTAGGGTACCCAAATTCAACCAAAAAAATCAAAACCTAAACCCATATCCGGATATCGTAGTTACTGTCATGCCACATTGCGCTGCCTCATCTCCTCTACGGTCCCGAAAACAACCCGAGCACAGAAGCGACCTACGCAGCCCCGCCGTTCGGCGCTACCTTCTCCCTCAACGCCGTGTCCTTCTCCACCGTGAACCCATCCGGCTCATCATGCGGCAGCACCGGCTTAGCCACGTCCTGCCGGAAGACATAGCGGCGCCAGAAATACACAAACTGCCTCGCACCATACGCAGCCTGGCGCCTCAGGGGCACATCAAAGACACTGTCGAGCTCCTCGAGCGTCTTCTCCTTAGTCTCGGGGACGAAGAACAAGACCAGGAAAAACCCGACAATGTTCCAGCCGGCGTACCAGCCGAACCCGCCTTGGGGCTTGAAGGCCTCGAGCATGCTGGGCCAGGTGACGGCCAGGATGAAGTTGAAGAACCAGGTGGTGGCGGTGGCGAGCGACATGCCGATGGGGCGAATGTACAGCGGGTAGGCCTCGGCCGAGTAGGTGAAGGGCACGGGCCCTTCGCCGGGCGAGTACACCATGCCGAAGAGGTAGATGCCGAGGGCGATGCAGGCGATGTGGGCGGTGCTGTCGGCGGGGATCCAGAAGGAGAAGCCCGTGAAGAACATGAAGAGCGCCATGAGCGGGAAGGTGGTCAGGAGCAGGTTGCGCCGCCCGAAGGTGTCGATGGTGTAGAAGGCGGGGAGCGCGAAGAGCCAGTTGATGACGCCGAAGCCGAGGGAGGCGGCGAGGGCGGGTACGTCCGGGTAGCCGGCTTCGCGGAAGATTTCAGAGGAAAAGTAGGCGATGATGTTGACTGTGTCCCGGTGATGTCAGCTATTTTGTTCACTTTTTTTTTTTTTTTTGGAGCAGAGTGACATACCACCACAGAACTGCTGCATAAACATGACGATCTCGCTGGCAATCATGGCGTTACGGTTGCGGCGGACGGTGAACAGCTCCAGGATGCGGTTCTTGGAGCCGATAGACATGGCCTGCTTTTCGGTCTGGAGGAGGGTGTGGGTGTAGAACAAGTCGCGAGCGGCTTGAACCTTCTCGAAGCGCAGCTGGCAGACGGCGTCGAAGGCGTCGCGGTGGCGGTCCTTGGTGAGGTACCAGCGCGGCGATTCGGGGCACTTGTAGGCGAGCATACAAACGACGATGGCGGGCAGCATGGCCGAGCCCATCATCAAGCGCCAGTTCAGTCCAAGCTCGATGCCACTGTCGGGGACAAAGTAAAATGCCAAATCAGCAATGTACCCGACCATGATGCCGAAAGCGGTCCACATTTGCCATTGCTACGTGGCAGGTTAGCATTGTGATTTGTCGTTGGTAAGGGGGGAGAGCTGGAGGGATGGTGCTTACCATGACAAGAGCACCACGGAGTTTCGGGGGCGAGCATTCAGCAGCAAAAACAGGCGTGGTCGCAGACTTGGGGCCGATACCGATCCCGAGAACGAAGCGGGCGATGAACATGTGCCACCAGGTGTTCGTGAAAGCTTGCCAGAAACAGGCGAGGGCGGAGACCAGGCAAGAGATGAAGATGGTGCCACGGCGGCCAAAGGCCCTGTTCATGGGGTCGGTGAGCCAACAGCCCAAAACTGCGCAGCAGAGGTACGGGGCGCCGTTCACGAGGCCGACGAGCCATGTGTCCCGCTCGCTCTTGGTGCCAATGCCGAAGGCAACCTTGTAGAATATTTGCGCGCCATTGACGACCGTCTCGTCCATACCCTGGACAGCGGCACAAAGAGAGCAGACTAAGGGTGTAAGTCGTCGTTATGGGCTGCTTGATGGGAGTGGTGTCTTACTGATAACGACCCAGTAAAGCATACTGGGGTTCGACCACTTGTGGGTGGTCTCCTTCTCTAATACTTCCCTCTCACGCTCAGTGAGCTCTGGGATTTGGTCGTATTGGGTGTTGTCTCCGGCGATCATGGCGCCGAGGCGGAATGCCCGCATGTCCTCGTCGCTAGTCAGTCCGGCCAATTTGGCGTATTCTACCCCCATAGCCCCTAGTCGCTCGGAGCTGAGGCCGGCCAAGGGGTTTGCAAGCTTCTTCGATGCTTCCAGTCGCTCATTTTTAGAGGCACCTCGCGAGCCATCGACGCTAGTCTGTGGTAGGTCATCGTGTTCGACGTTGGTACCGGATGCCGACGAGCTGGAACGCTCGTGTTTCTTTTCGGATGCCATGTTAGGCAGTGGAAAATATAAGTTGGTGGTATTCACGGGGTGAGGTGGGAGTAGGAACCCGAGCCCGTTGAGATTTTGAGGTTATGGAGTAGAGGGAGGAGTTGAGCAAGATCAATGAGCGTCAGAATCCGTGGGGTTTCGGCGGTTATAAATGTCTACACTGGATCTCGAGGATCCCCAGATTCGAAAACGGTATCCCGCATGTGGGACCTAGATCCAACAAGTTCCACGGCCTTGGAGGGCCAGCCAGTGAAGCATGGTTTCGCTGGTTTTGCGAGTCTGCCTTCTCTCGGAGACTCCGCCTGCAAGTGCCGCCCCAGCGCCCCAGCAGCCCGGGTACACAAACCTCACATCTCGGAAAGCGGGTCTGGCTTTGTTGGACTTCCCGAGAAGGAAGCTATCGACGTCATATCTAGGCGCCAATGGACGGCCCAACGAGGGGTGATCGAGGCTCGAGCAAGGGTGGTGTTCGGATGGCTGACGTCCTGAGTCGGGCGGCAAACAATGTCGCATATCGCATTTCTCGGGTAAGTCGGCCACTCCCCGCGTTCGCTGAGGATACCTGAAAGTTCAAAATTCATGAGCATGATTTGCCCCTGTGGCATTGGATCGGCGTTGCGGTGCGCATTCAGATGACCAGGCTGCATATGACGTCGTTACTGCGGTTGGCGGTTAGGCGGGTCCAGGGCAACAGCCACCAGGGTTGAGACAAGCTTTTACCAAGTTCAGCCAAGCACCACTGCCGGGTTGCCCGTGGGGGCGAGAGGTAAGGGCCCGGGCTTGTTTTTCACATTACAGCAAAATTCCCGAGTATGTGCAAAACCTAAAAAATAACCATGTGGAGATTGATTGCTCGTTAGGCAGATTTTGAGTTTCTCTAAGGTATCACAATAACTTTGATAAGTCTCTAGAACTCTAGAGTATCGAGAGTGCCTAGGAATCAGCATCGTTTGGTTTGTCGTTGGTGAAAAGCGCAAGGTCCGCTGACAGTTCTCGGCTGTTTGGTTTGGTGGGGTTCAATGGGGTTCGGTGGGGTAAAACCCCATGGGAAAATATCTCGACCGGAGCTCACTCGGCTCAATTTTGATACAAGCAAGGAAGAACGAAACAAAGAGAGAAAAGAGAACCGGTTCATGTGACATACAAAATTTGAAAAATTGTTACAGAAGTGGTCCGCTCTTGTTTGTGACGCAAAGTCGACCCGATTTGAAACCCATGTCAACCATCCAACAAAGATAAACCAACCCTACAGAACGTCAAGGCATTTTTGGCCGAGAAGAGACCACCACCTCCGCTCCGATCCCGAGATGACTTCCTTCCGTTCCTCACAACCACCGGCGGTGGCTTGCGCATCCCACTACTGCCCCTTCGCTCCGGAAACCCAGCAGCCGACGATGACCGTCTCTCTCGGGGTCTTTCCCTCTGCTCCCGCCCGCTCTCTCGCCCTCTCAACCTAGCCTCTCTCTCCCGCTCTCTCTCCCGGTCCCTTTCACGGTCCCTTTCGCGGTCCCTTTCGCGCTCTCTATCACGCTCCCTATCCCTATCCCTATCCCTAGGCCTCTCTCTCCCCGTTTCCCTTTCCCTCTCCCTCTCCCTCTCCCTACTCTCCCCCCCCCCCTTCTCTTGAACGAGATTGGCCCCTGGGTTGTGTCAGTCGGCGTGTGTGCGAGCGGTGATCGAAGCGGGGGAGAGTCCCTGAATACTAACAGAGTGTTGACGACGCTCTCCGAACATCCTCCACGCGAGCGCGGACGAAGGATGGAAGTACTAAGGGTGCTGCGATTATGTGGGGGG